TGCAGCTAGCTTTGTAGAGCAGTTAATATTGTGACGTGCAGCTAGCTTTGTAGAGCAGTTAATATTGTGACGTGCAGCTAGCTTTGTAGAGCAGTTAATATTGTGACGTGCAGCTAGCTTTGTAGAGCAGTTAATATTGTGATGTGCAGCTAGCTTTGTAGCGCAGTTAATATTGTGACGTGCAGCTAGCTTTGTAGAGCAGTTAATATTGTGACGTGCAGCTAGCTTTGTAGAGCAGTTAATATTGTGACGTTTTATAGTTTGGCTAATAAAAAAATGGTCTTTTAGTTGGACTGGCGGCGGTCTAAAGCTGCACTGGCGGTGGTCTCGAACTGTACCGGTGGGTGTCTCGAGTTGTACTGGCGGTGGTCTCGAGTTGTACTGGCGGTGGTCTCGAGCTGTACCGGTGGGTGTCTCGAGTTGTACTGGCGGTGGTCTTGGGCTGTGCGGGTGGGTATCGAAATACTTTGGTGGGCTTTCTGTGGGCATTGTTTTGGGCTCGAGCCATGGCGATGGGAGACTAAAGGCTGTAGGGTGAGCGTGAAGAGAGGCAGTCGAACATTAACGTCATTGCTGTTATTAGCGTTCTGTGCTGAATATATGAGCCCTGAATCAAACCAACATACATGCACTGCTTAAATACTGCCTGCCTGTGCCTGTCAAGTTGCCACAGTCAGGCCACGCAGGGATGATGTGGGCCCCAGCACCCTCCCCCTTTTCTTTTGTTTCTCTAAAGAGGTATACAAATAATTATAGCAGCCTATCATCTAATAAACCTTATACTTGTCCACCCACTGCCCTCACACCAACCTTCTAAAAGTACACAACGGATCTCCTGATGTTTATTGTTCATCCCAACTTGAGACTGGGTTATTTCGCCTAGAAGTTATTGCATGCACTTGTAGCCATATTGTAAATATAAAATATAGAAGAAAAAAAAAAAACTACGGTTCCATCGTGTCGAATGGACGAGACTTGTATGGCTTTGTGTGTAACCGAATTAGTCCAGTCAATAAAACAAGGTCACTGACTTCTCTATTAGATTTAGCAAACAATATACAGGGCAGTGTCAGCATCGATAGATACTAGGAAAAGAGCCACAATCGGGTAAAAAAATGTAATGTTAAGTATTGGCTATTATGATTGCATGTTTAAAAAATAAACTGTGTTGTATAGAACTGATGGGTACCAGGGGTTAATTCAATTAGAATCCCACTAATGTCGCGTTTGTTCACTTTCGGGGTGGGTTTCTGTATGAAAATGAATAAGTTGAGATTGGGGGTTGCGTGGGGCGGGTATAGTTGCATTCCTTCTAGAATAGTCTTCACCGTTTAAAGATTCAAATAACGTTTCGAAAGCTGTAATTTTAGGTCAACAACCCAAACAACCCTACGAACATAAAAACTGCGGAATAGGTTTTAAAAAACAAAAAAACAAAAAAAACAAAGTTAAAATCCAAATAATCGAGTACAAATCTGAAGCTAGATCAGGTATCGATCTCGAATGACGGGCTGTGGATGACTCAGTAATCAAGCTGGCGATAGACGTATCGATTCTGTGGTTAGAAGTGTATAAGAATTAAAAAAAAAGAAATATTTCATACAGAAAAAAACAACAACAAGGCCACCATTTTAAGACTAGAACCTGAAAAAAATTGTTCTGGGCCAGCCAAATATTGTTTCCAAAGACTCGACTCCACTGTTTTACTTCGCAAAAAAAAAAAATAAATTAAAAAAAAAGAAAAAGAAAAAAAGAAAAACCAACAAAACAACAACAAATAATGAATCTAAGCGAGTCTAAAAATGACTTTTTTTTTTTATTTAAGTGTGATAAAAATAAACACTGTAACATTATAAATATGAGTGGCAATCCCTGCCCTTCCACGCGTCACTTCCACATGTTCAATGACGCAATCCTTGGCATTTTCAATACCTATCTTGGCGTCAAAAGTCGAAGTTGGCGCAAAGATTAAAAAATATCTACTCGGTAACAATAAATGTCATACGCCATGACATTTACGTATCTGACACTCTCATTTTGGTCTTTAAAAGCGGCCTCGTCACTCCCGATACAAATAGATCAAGTGTCCAGTGGCGAAACTGACACTCCCGGGGAAAGGCGGTGATTTAAGTTTCTCTTACCACTAAGACAGATTATGGTCTGACTACCGACACCCCCCCCCCAACCGCCCAAAAAATAAAAATAATAATATAAAAAATACACCAAACTTCCTGCAGTTGACTCAAACTATTATAGTGGTAGCTGAGCCTCATGAGTTCATAATTAATTTGATCACTTTATCTCGGATATATTTTTATGAGATGTATATAAAGGAATTTTCTGTCTCGGGTTGATCCTGTAATATAGGCCAAAACGTGCCAAAGTGT